GGCTCCTCGGTCGGACCTTCGGGTAGAACCGCGGCCAAGCGGGACGCGTCGATCGCGGCTCCTGTCACAGACGCCGAGGGGAGAGCGCACCGCGGCCCGCCTCCGCCGCCTCCTCCTCCACGCCCCTCACACTCACGTGTCGCGGGCACGTGGAGCAGCCGCGGCTCAGAATCCCCCGGCGAGGCTCGGGCTGGGGCTGGGAGACCCGGCCAGCGAGGGGCCACCCGCAGACCCCGGTCCCAGCGCTCGCGTCGGAGGCCAGCGTTCCCCCTGGCGCCTGGCTGTGCCCCACTCCGGGAACCGGAAACAGGAAGCGCCAAGGGGCCGCCGGGCAACCGCTCCTCCCACCAGACCCCGCGGCATGTGACCACAGCACCCTTTCGCCCCCTTTCCCCTTCCCGGGCTCCCCGGCAGCCCTGAGCGCCGATTGGCCCGTGATCCTAGGACTTTCGCTCCGCCCTGGCTCCATCAACGCCAATCACTATCGAAACGGGCGCGTTTCGTTCCCTCTTTTCTGGTCGCTTTTCTACCAATGGGGTTCCCGAGAGCCGCCTCCGGGGCCTCCGGGCTCGCGCGCCCCCGTCACGCGGGGTCATGCGCCAGGCCCGCTTCCCGGTAGGTCCGATCGAAGAGGCACGTAAGGACGGGCGCCGGAAGCGGAAGTTGCGAAACCGCTCGCCCCGGGGCCTGGTGGGAGTTGTAGTTCTCACCCCGGGTCGCCTTCTGCGGCGGCGATCCCCCTCGCCCCGCTGCGAGAGGCGCTGTTTCGCCGTTTGCCAGGTTCCGAGCCCGGGGGTCTCCGGCGCTGGCAAGCCCGAGGCCGGCGGCGGAGCCACGGGCTCGTGCGCCTTCCTGGCTCTCTTAACGACAGCTTTGTTCCGCGTTTCCTGTTTACAATGAGTACCCAGGGGCGTGTTCTTCTCGGCGACCTCTGTCCTTCCTCCGCGTGGTGGCATCTTGCGTGATGCAACCCGCTCTGCCCTCGCCGCTGCTCTCCGGGGTGGCTTCTGCATCCCTGGCTCCCCCGCCCCGTCTGCGGGGCCCGCGTGGCACGATGTGAGCCTTTGCGCCTTTGCCAGCTCCCCGGCGGGTCCCGTGTGGCCGGCCGGCCGCCCCTGGAGGTCGCGCTCGTCCTTGGCGCGCGGCTGAGACGCTCTGGCTCCCCGCGGCCCGGGCTTCGCTCTCGGGGGAAGG